TGCGGGATTTGGTTGTGTTATAATAGCATTGCTATCATCAGACCATTAATAATGATGACGTTTGGTCTCAAGGGCTCTTAAATCACCCTTTCCCCAGCAGACTTGAGCTTGGCCAGGCTAACCCTGGCCCATTTTGCAGAAGGGAAATCATTTGTTTGAGGTTAAACCACAAATCACTGGCGTTAAGCACTAACTTCATGACGTCGCAAGTCTTAGGTGTGTGTTCGCCCCGAGGCGGACAGCCTTGGTTGTCACTTCCATCACTGTCCTCTTCTCCAGACTCTTGGTGAAATGGATTCATTGCCCTTTAGCTGAACCAACCAAGGACATTAATTTGGAATATCTGAAAGCTATTCTTAGTTTGTCAAAAGATACCTCAAGTTACACAAGCTGTGGTGATGACATTTCTTCCCCAAGATGACTGATTGGGTTGTTTACTCTTTAAACAGCCACATGCCACGGGTCAAGGACAATGTAATTCCTGACCTTAAAGTGCTTATTTCCCAAAGATGACATATTAACTACTTTACACACACACACACACACACACACACACACACACACACAGACCCCTCCCTTTCTTCTTTTTGAATATAAACTAAACAATAACAAACACTATATTGCACTTCACAGTTTTTGCTAAGGACTTTCACACATGTACTCCCACTTGATCCTCACAATTATGTCCTGAAACTGATGTCTTCTAAATTTTATACATGAGGAGAATGAAACTTAGCAATGGCAGCACTGATGTAGTTCATTTGTTTTTATTTTAACCGCCTCATTTATAACATATTTAAGAATTCTAAAATCACAAAATTTTTTTAAAAAATTTAAAAAGCAGAATAAAACCAGTGGCATAAAGTAGAGCTGGTATAGATAGAGCCAACCAGGGCAATTGTTAATTAGTGTGCAGACATGCAGGCTAAATAGGCCCCACAGTTCCCAGCATTGAGTCCCAAACTGGGTCTGAGCGTCCTGGAAGCCTAAGTGAAAATGGAAAGAAACCATTTGCAAGGTTCACATAACCCATGAGGACAAAGCACACCAATTTTTTAGAAGAAAGAAGGCTTCCCCTGACAGCTGGAAGAAGCATCTTCTCTGGGTATTCCCCGAGGGAGCGTTTCTCACTCGTGGCTGCAGATCAGGGCTCTTTAAAGAGTGCCCGTGCCCAGGCCCCACCACAGGCCCACTGGACAGCATCTCACGGTTGAAGGGCCCGGATGTCAGCATGTGTATATTTTTTAACTCCCCCTGATGATCCTAATATGTAGCCAGGATTGCAAACCACCGACGGTACATTTCTACCAAAAATCCAAGAGCCAGTAACGTGTTAGCCTGTCCCAAGGCCTTCTGCACACACGGCACTGTATAGCACACTTTAGTGTAGAAGCTGAATCTGGACCTGGATTTTCCAACTCTGTCTCTGATGTTTTTTTCCCTGGAAATGGGAGGGAGCAAGAGAGGTATAGTCCCATGAGTGAAACTTTGAGTAACGTGATAGGTAATTTGGTAGCTGCGGAGGGGAAAATGATTCCAGGGATACAACCTCAGTGACCGGGGAGGGAGCCCGTGGAAGGCTGACTCAGAACCTGACCACCCCCAGTGGTCTGTGGTGCTGCCTGAAGGTCGGCAGAAATCACGAACAGGCTTATTTCACACGTCCCTGCCTGCTACCTGGGTATGACTCATGGCTGTGAGAGATGGGATGGTTTCATCCCTTTCCTGATATATTGAGTATTTCATCAAGCATGCAGAGAAAATAGCGCTTCCAGAAGGGCTTGCAGTTCTGCTCTTTCACTGCCCCAAGGCCCCCAGGGGTCCCCATCTCACTCAGTGTCTGCAAAGAACATACCAAGGGGTGAAAAGCTGCTTCTAGGAAAAGCCATCAAGCTGCAGGCTTTTGGAAGATGACAGTAGGTTATTAAAACAACACCACCACAATTACACCAAGCATTCCTATGAAATAAACTGGTAATAGTGAATGTGTCTACAGGCAATAAACTTGAAAGCTTGTAGTTGTCGAGTGCTTTGCAGTTGTTCAAGTACTTGTGTAGGCAACATTAAATGTGGTCTCTCAACTTGACAAGAGTATCCATGAAAAGCAGAGTGCCATATTTTCCAGTAGTTAGACAAGAAGAAGGAAATTTCTATCCCACAAAGTTTTCCCAGCTGGCCTGACGATCAGTCACCTGGGGCACTTGTGAAATATCCAGGTCCCCAGGAGTCCCCTCTGGAAATGCTGGCTCTTAGGGCTTGGTCGGGCCTGGGAATCTGGTTTTGTTTTCCCTTTTTTGTTAAAGTAATTGTCCCAGGTTTTTCTTATCCTTAGGCAAATTTGGGAGACTGTACTTGAAGGAAACCTAGGTAATGGGTGGGCCAAGGAGCAGGAAAAATTGTGGGGAAAAATTTCTCTACGTTTGAACTTTGAAGGATCTTGGCTTAAATTTTGCCCCACCACACACACTCAGTAATTTTGTGCAAATTATTAAATTTCCTCTGTCTCCAAATCCTGTAAAATGGGAATAATTTCACTGGCAGAGTGTTAGGATGCTGTAGGCACATTTTATCCTTGCTAGCTCACACGGTGCCAGGGCCATAGTGACTGCTTGATACGAGGGAGTGACTGTAACCAATGACCAAGCAGCCAAATTGTGACTCACAGCTCCGAATTAAACTAAGTCCTGGCTCCCTCCTAAAACAGTGGTTCTCAGCTGAGGGCACATTTGCCCCCAGAGGGCATGTGTCACTATCTGGAGGAAATTTTTATTGTCATGACTAGGGAGGTGTTACTGATGTGTCCAAGGATGCTGCTGAATGTCCTCCAATACACAGGGCAGCCCCCACCACAGAGAACTGTGCGGCTTAAGTGCCACAGTGCCGCTGTTGAGAGACCCTGTCCCAAAGGTTCAACGAGACAAGTAAAAAGTCTTGTGAGTGCAGGAATAAATGCATGAGTCATTGGTGTCCCCACAGTAGGGGCAAGTCCAGTGGGACACAGAGGCGTTTCTGATGGAGCAGGAGCAGCTCTGGAAGGCAAGGTCAGAGGCACGAACGCGCATCTTGGTAACGCCCCCAGTCCGGGCCGATTTCCGGCACACTCAGGATGCACCATTCTTTTTGTAGGATGCAACGTCGGTGGCGTCCACTGGGGTTCTGCAGCTAGGCGGCTCTGGCCCTAACCCATAGTATCACTTTGGGTAAATCTTTCACCCCGGGAGTATCCAATGCCTCATTAGACCAATGATCATTAGACCCACCTGGCGAACTTTTAAAGTGCAAATTTCTGGCTCCATTCCCTGGAGGTTCTGCTTTAGGGTCCAAGCATGGACCCTGGAAGCCACATTTATGAAATCACCTCAGGGGATTCTGAAGCACAGTTCCAGCCACCTGTGAGTCCTCTGTGTTTTCCACCAACTCTGACATCCAGGGCATCTGTAAAACCTGGAAAATGGAGAAACAAAATCCTGCCAAATACAGCTTCTTTCACCTCCTGCAAATTAGCAGTTTTTATCAGTCTGAGGTGTTTGCATTGATTTTCTATTTTTACTACTATTAACACTACTACGACTGCCAGAAATCATAATAATTAACAGTAACACAGAACATCAGGGCTGGTACCTTGTTCTGTAAGATTAAAATGAAACGGTCTAAGCAAAGTGTATGCCTCCACTTCTCACCAGATGTCAGGGGGAGGGACAGCCCATCGCCCCCTCCGGCCCCGGCTTCTGCTTCCTCGACGCCGGCCAGTCTGTGGCCCACCTCGTCATCCTTACCAGTGGCCATGTTGACAGACGGGGTTTCCTCAGTTAGCACAATTTCCACTCACACCAGGCCTCTGTGTATAAAGTAGACTTTACTAAAATGGGGGAGGCTGTGGGGACTCCCAACAGAAGTAACTTCACATCGACTCACGCACATCCTCTGCCTGAGTCCTCTCTGCGCCTCTGCCAGCTCAGACTGCGGGCACCTCCCTGGCTGCCGGAATCTGGCTTCCAGGCCTTTCTTCCCACTCTAGATGGCAAAATAAATCAACGAATGAATGAATGAATAATATTTATGTTCACATGTAAAATATGTGTGTATATATGTGTCTACGTGTATATGTAAATGTGTATGTATATACATTCGTATATATGTATATACATTCGTATACATATATGTATATACATTCGTATACACATAAATTGTAAATTTTTTTTGCAGAACAACTCAGCCCTGCTTTTGTTCCTTTGTTCTGCTCTCTCCTTACTGATCCCGCCCCGGGGTTTGGCTTTTCATTCCCTTCTGGTGACCCATTAAACTGTTCATATGAACAAAGATACTCCCCTTCCTAACAGGAATTGTTGCCAGCTCCTGGGGAGCGCAGAGACCCCACTGCCCTAGCACTCACGCAGTCTCCCACTGTGCCTGAGCGCTCCATCTTGTTCCTTCCATCCTCACCAGAACACCTGGATGGGATGGTCATTATTTTCATCTTGCAGATGAAGACCTGAGCTTCAGAGAGACCCAGTTAATTGCTTGAGCTCCAGTAGAGTAGAGGCTATAGGGACAAAACAGGGACAAAATTCCTGCTTCCTTAAGTCTAAATCTAGAACTTTCCCTTCCCCAGCTGGTAGTTCTCTGCCTGGATGCACATTAGAGTAATCAGGGGGGCTTGAAAAATACCGATGCTGGACTTCCACCCTAGTACTCTGGGAGTGGCGCCCAGCAGCTGCATGTTTAGGAAGCTTCCCTGGTCATCCTACGCTGCAGCCCTGCTCAGGGGTCCCCAACATACCAACCTGCCGACCCGAGGAACTGAGCACAGTTGCTCCCGCCAAAGTAAAGGCTGTGCTTGCTCTTGGGTTTTCTGGACCGTAGCATATGCGCTACCCCACAACCTTCTTCTATATGTTGTTTTCAGATCAAAATTTGATAACATTCCAGATGAACAGTTACCTGTCCAACAAATCTGTCCACAATCCTGCTTTTCCTTATCCTCTTTTTCTTTTTTACAGGCACAAAGCGACGTTCTCATGGCTCACCTGCCCCAAGCACTAGCTCCACGAGTCGCCTTACCTTACCAGGTGGGTAAACAGCGTCGCACCATTATCGTAGTGACCAGTGACAATGGGAAGGACTGGTTTCTCAGGAGCTGAGTTTAGCAGTTGACAAACTGAGAGGCTGGCCCCGTATGTATCCACTCTACTCCACGTTGTCAGAGAGCTTTGTCTCTGTCCTCCACATTTGCGAGGTTCCTCGAGGAACAGACATACTATTTTCATGGTTGTTTCACAATCTCTCCCACTCACTGATGGAAATAATAGAATCTCGCTCCTCCTTGATATTCCTCTGGACATACTATGGAAGTATCTGCCTTTGAGACACAGATGGTGCAGGGGAAGGAGTGTGAGTCCTTGGTGAGATAGAAACCTGGGTTCAAGTCCCAGCTTTGCCATGTTCAAGTTGTGTGACCTCACGTATACTTCCTCAGCTTCTCGGAACTTCTGTTTTCTAATCTGTCTGGGTGATGAACTTGTAAATTTTGCATAGTATTGACACATAGTGGGTGCTTATAATTATTAATATCTATATGATTGAGAAATATGGAAATTATATATGACCTGAATTGGATCCCATCTCACGGGTACTAGAAAACCTTGAGGATTCATGACGATCATGTGTAACTACTATTTAACATAAAGGGCACCTATTGGGCATTCTGTCTTCATGCATAGGCTTGCATTCTCTTCTAGAATTTAATTTTTATGAGTAGAACTTGGAAAAACATCTGTTTTGGGAGAAGGAAAGGTTGTAAAAGGTAAACAAAGTCATTGTAAAAAAACTGAAAAATAATAAAAATTATAAGGAGAAAAAATGTTGCCAATAATGCTACCACCCAGAGTTAACCAACATTACCTCTCCTTCTAGTCTTTATTAAACACTTTTTCCCTAGATTTGAATTATACTCTAAGTGGAGTTTTGTTTCCTTTTTTTAAAAATTTATCATGACATTATGAGATTGTCTCCATGTTATTAAATAATCGATCAAATATTTCAGTGATTGACTAACATTTCCACGATTATGCCACAATTTATATTTTGTTGGTAATTTGGCATTTATGTAACTGACATTTTTATTATTATGAGTAACCTTCCATGCCTGTACATAAATAATCTTCTGAGTTGTCAATATGGATGCAGGATAGATTCCTGCAGGCAGGATTACTGGCTCAAAGAATACATACATATTTAGGTTCTTGACGCATTGTTGTCAAGGTGATTTCCAGAAAGGTAGTATTAATTTAAACTTTTACCCTGTGTTTGCCCATTTCACTATCCCCTTGCTAATGCTGAGCATTATTTTTAATACTTTACCAATTTGATAAGAAAAAATGATATCCATATTTGGTTTGAATTTATTTTTTAAAAAAACTGTTTTCTAATGTTAATTCATCATTTACATTTCTTCTTTTTGTAATTATCATATTTCATCCATTCTAAGAGACACATTGCCTTGCATTTTAACCTCTCTGAAATTGAGATGTTTTTCAATCAATGGTGTGTGATTATTTAATTAGCAACATTTTTTTCTTGGTAGCACATGAAATAATAGTTCACTTTATAATTAGTGGCATCTTAGATTAGATGAATATAATCTATGTCTACCTGCTTTTTCAACTTCCATTTCTGTAGCTCCCCTACCCCAGTTCAACAACTGGATTGTGTGTCTGCTGAGTACCCTTGAACTCTTCTTGCCTCTGTGACTGTCTGGGACCCTCTTCCGCTTTTCTTCCCTTGGCTCATCTCTCTCTGTGCATCCTCTCCAAATCATCTATGTGGAATTAATATTACATTACAATGATTTGCTTATAAGCCCCTTTACCTGTGGACAACTGGATTTTTCCATGATGGGGACTGTTGTATTCCAGTGCTGCCCAGGTGATAGGCACATATCAGGTATTCACAAATGTTTCTTAGCTGGGTGTGCTGGTGTGTGTCTGAGCACTCTCCCATTTAATTTATGACTGTATAGACAGGAACCATCCTCAGATAAAAGGCTCATTTTGAAGTTTGTACTTGCTTCAATGATACTAACTTGATTTTTAGTACTGAGTAGACCTTGCTCTGTAGTCTCTGCAAGCCACGTGCATCTTGTATCTGCTCATTGGTTGTTGTGCTCTTAGGACTACAGAGCCTTAGGAGGAAAACAGCTTCAAACCAAGCAGCTCTGGTGTGAAGCGATGATGTGTGCCCCTCGCAAAGTCATAATACTGCGGCATCAGGTGGGACCTCTGAGGTCATCTGGTCATCATCTACAGGAATGTGCAGAGCTGACCTGGGTCCCACTTGTTCTGCTGGGGATCTAGGGCTGGCCAGCTGGGTCCCAAGGCCTCTAACCCAGCGTCACGCCTTGTCTTTGGCCTTAGATGGGCAGTCTAAACTGGTCCCAAACTGGGTGTCTTAGGTTTGGAGTTCTGACCTTCTCCAAAGCCTGTGGGGAGGAGTGGGTAGTTCTCAAAACACCAGACACAATTAACCATGCTTTGACTAGCAGACACGCTCACCTCACTCATAACAATGCCCAGCTCTCTAATCTCCTTTCAGACCTCAGGAATATCTCAGAGTGTCTCCCCCTGACTCAAGTGCCTCGATGGCCCCTCCCTAAACCCAGCTAGTTCCCACTCACAGCTCCACCTAGAATATCACATCACAGCTTTTAAAAACCTTTGATTATACAGTCAGTGAATGCACATATTTGGGAATTTAGGGTTTATGTGTTATTTTCTTCAACATCATCTACATGGCTAGATCCAGTGTAATCAAATCAATCAGCTACAGACTAATCCAATTCAGTCATTAAGAGATGAAAACATTTGCTGAGAATTCCAGTCAAGATGGCCTAGTAAGTTCATTTTTTGTACACACACTCCTTTGCTCTAAACACATGCAAATAAAATAAATAAATATTATTCAGAAAAAGGCCAATGCCAGAGCCAAACAGCTCTGGGAACCAGAAACAAAAGAGAACTACTACATAGTCTGCAGATTGACACCACAGGACAGAAACCACGGGACAGCTTCGCATCTTGGGCAGGGAGTGTAAGAAAGGAGCTTGAAAGTGCTCCAGGGAACACTGAGAAACAGAGCCAGGAACATAGCCTGCATACAGGCATGGGGTGACAAGGCTTAAAAAACTGCTGCTGACCTGTTTCCTTGAAGCTACAGCTTAATAATATTAATAGGAAGTTGTTGGTCTAGAGAGATGGAAGGACATTGAGACAGATTTTTTTGCCAAACTAAGCTAGCTTTGGGGTTGGATTTGTAATATCCCACTATGATTGTGGGGCATTAGCCATAAAATGTCATTATAAGTCCTGGCTCTGATGTGGAAGTTTAAGGGACCAGGTGGAAGTAACTACAAAACTCTAGACAGATGAGAGACAGGCTGGGGTGGGGGGTAGTGTGTGGCGAGAGAGAGAGAGAGAGAGAGAGAGGGAGAGAGAGAAAGAATACAAAGCCAAAATATCTTCTACTTAAAATTAACCAAAATTCCACAGGCAACAAAAGAAGCAATATATAAATTGGACTTCATCAAAATGAAAAACTTCTGTGCATCAAAGGACACTATCAACAGAGTGAAAAGGCAACCCACAGAATAGGAGAAAATATTTGCAAATCATATATCTGATAATAGGTTAATGTCCAGAATATATAAAGAACTCTGGCAACTCAAAAGCAACAACCACCAAAAACCCCAATTCAAAAATGGCCAAAGGACTGTAATAGACATTACTCCAGTGAATATTTACAAATGGCTGATAAGCACATGAAATGATGCTAAGCATGACTATCATTAGGGAAATGCACATCAAAACCACAGTGAGATACCACTTCACATCTATTAGGTTGGCTACTATAAAACAAAAACAAAACAAAAACAGAAAATAACAAGTGTTGGTGAGGATATGGAGAAATTGGAACCCTGGTATATTGCTGGTGGGAGTGTAAAATGACACAGCTGCTGTGAAAAATGGTTTAGCCAAAGACAAAGTCAAGAAGCAAGGAAGTGTGCCACGGGAAGAGCACTGCAGGTTACAAAGCAAGGGGCAGGGGTACAGGGTAGGAGAAGAATTGGTGCCTGTAGCATAGTCTACCACTGAAATCAGCAACTGGAACATGAATTTCTTCTGGATGGAGTTAATTTCTGGTGCAGGCTGTCAAACACTTTGGAATATCATTAGGATACTCATAGAGCCAAATGGAGGAATAATAATCATTAAAAAACAATAACATAAAATTGTACAGAAACAAACCAGAACAGAGATATGCAAAAGAAGCAATTCACAAAATGAAATTTAAAAAAGAAAATAAACATACAGTCATTGAAATTTAAAAAAAGAAAAAAAAACTCATTTGATGGGATAAATTCAAGATAGAACACAGTGGAGAAGAGAATTAATGTTGGAAGATAGTCCTGAAGACTTTATACAAAATGCAGCATAGAGAGGGAACCATATCAAAAATGAAAGATCATGAACTGTAAAACTCTTAGAAGAAAACACAGGGATAAACCTTCATGACCTTGGATCTGGCGGTTGTTTCTTAGATATAACACTAAGTACAAGCAACCAAAGAAAAAATAGATAATTAGACTTCATTAAAATTAAAAATTTTTGTGCTTCAAAGATACAATCAAGAAAGTGGAAAGACAATCCACAGAATGGGAGAAAATATTTTCAAATTATATATCTGATGAGGGTCTAGTATCCAGAATATGTAAAGAATTCTTACAACTCAAAAGACAAATAACCCAATAAAAACGTGGCAAAGGATTTGGAAAAACATTTCTCCGAAGAAGATATACAGATGGCACATAGCACACGCAAAGATGCTCTACATCATTAGTCATGCAAGTCAAACCCACAACGATATACCACTTCATAGGCACTGCGATGGCTAGAATAAAGAAAGGTGGTCAATCACAAATGTTGGTGACAATAACAAAGGTGTGATGAAATTAGAACATTGCTTGTGGGGATATAAAATGGTATAGCCACTTTGAAACATAGTTTGGTGGTTTCTC